GAAAAACTAGGAAAAACTAGGAAAACTAGGAAATACTAGGAACGCTGGAGAGCCTGTATTATTAAACATTATAGCTTGATAAGTATAGGTTAAGGAGTAACGAACTAATTCTAAACGAAATACTATATGTAAACATGTTAAGGAGTAATAAACGATAAACTATATCTACATGTTACTTAGAAAGGCAGGAAGGAAGAGGCATAAAACAGCGGGAGCAAATTGAACCCCCAAGTAAATGCCGGATGCGACATAAACAGGGGAGAAGAAAGAAAACAATGGGAAGAAGGATTAATAAGGCGGGAAATTCGAGATATGCAGTAGGTAGAGAAGTAATGGGTGAAAAGTTGCTCCATTTCGTCCTCTTAATGGGTGCTTTGTCAAGTTTTTCCCTGTCTATCTTGGACAGAACGTATTGTGAACAAGGGCGTCGAGAGCCAGCTGAGGCCCCGGGGTCAGGAATATTACTGGGCCACCCTTTCATTCTATTTATTAACTTTTGCTGATTTTTCATAAATGAAATTTAGGTGACAAATTTCTTCGTGAATCCATGAAAAAGAAGTAGCCATTGTAACTCATTAAGTAATATGCATTTCTAGTGAGCTTTGGAATATCCCACTGCCGGGTCCCTCAACAGACCCCAGGGTAGCTGCCCCCCTCTCGTCAGCCCTGATTGTGAACTCTTGTCATGCTCTCCAAATCCAATTATATCTCGTTTTTGTTTCTGAAATACTTGTGCTAATGTTGGAAACATAGGACTGAGTAGCTTCATAACTTGTGGCTGGTATTCCTGAGCGACTTTTTCAACAGCCTCACATATCCAATCCTTGTACTTCGAATGCTGAAAACCTATCCACAGTAAAAATCCAAATCTAGAAAGCATTGAACAATGCATAACAACTGATTTGTCACATGTTCAAACTTTCCAAGAAATGATGCAACATCATCATAGTGATACATGTGAGAGATAAACGATTAAAGCGTTCATCCTTTAGACTCACAGATCTGTTCTTCTTTGGCAAAATATGCATGTCAAATTAATTTGCCTTATTCCAAGACTGTGATCAAAGTCACGGTTTATCAGTCTTGTAATGCAATCAGTGGACAGGCATATTCTCTGAGTCTAGACGACCCGGCATGGCCAGGTGGTTAAGGTGCTCGACTCACAAGCTGAGGGTCGCGGGTTCGAATCCCCGTCACACCAAACATAGTCGCCCTTTCAGTTGTGGGGGCATTATAATGTGACAGCCAATCCCACTATTCGTTGGTAAAAAGAGTAACCCAAGTTGACGGTGGGTGGCCTTCCCTCTAGTCTTGCACTGCTAAATTAGGGACGGCTAGCGCAGATAGCCCTCGTGTAGCTTTGCGCGAAATTCAAAAGAAAACAAAAACAAACAAACTGAGCCTAGATGCTCTGCAACTTCAGCTTCCACACTGAATTTATGTGCTGTCTGATTAGTGATGACAAAGCCACTTTTCTCAAACAGTGTTTTTGTTTCAACAGCACCTGTTGCTGAGAGAATGTGAAGAGTTGTTAATTTCACCTGAGCAAGGTTGGTTTTACTTTCTGAGGTAATATTCATTGTTAGGACTCTGTACTTTCCATTAATAATGATTCCTTGCACTATAAATGAACCAGCTCCCTGTTTCTTTGATCTGTTATCTGAATATGTGACCGTTGCTTTACAATCTGAGGACATTATTTATTTTATCATCTGGTCATGTGCCATGATTTCATTGCTCTTTCCTACATCTCTGACACTCTTCTTTTCTATTACACCTCCCTCATTATGGCATTTCCAGTGTCTTCCAAACATTTTGTTAGCTGTTTCAAGTACAGCAGCTTCTGCTTGGTTTTGTGACATGTGCAAACAGCTTTTCAACTTGTTAACTATTTCATAAAATTCTGGTCTGACCTTTCGTATACTACAGCGTACATACTTGAACTCGCTGGGCAATGGATCATCCAAAGCTTCAGATTCTTGGAAAACTATTCTCTTTTTTCTTGTAGGTGGATCACTCTCTGCTTCATCTGATGGTTTGTAGGACTCTTCACCAATATCCTCTGCTGAAGCTTCACTACTGTCAAAAATGGTCACTGTGGACATGTATTGTTCACTGTCTCTGAACTTTCTCATTTTCTCAAGAGCACGCAAGTCTTGGTTACGTTTTTCTCTTGGCTTTGACCACTTTTTATCTACATAGTCTAGACAATACATGTTTCTCTCACTTCGCTGATCTTGTAGAAATTTCCACTCAATATCTGTCATCTTGACACCATGAAAGTCCCACAGCTTCTTTCTTGGATCCGAATCCTCACAGAATATATCAAAGAGTTCAAATTCGATGACGAGGAACCCACTTTGAGACTAATAATGGCTGGAGACGGCTTGAATGGGTAATGAAGAAAAACTTTAATATAACAGCAAATGTACAACGTTTCGACAAGGTTTTGTCATCATCAGGCTGTTATATTAAAGTTTTTCTTCATTACCCATATCAAAGAATGTTCCACTGCTTGAAATAAAGTCAGCAATTTTTTTGTGAGAAGAGTCACTCTGTCTCTGTTTTCTTGTTTGTACAAGATTACAAAATCTTCATAAAGCTTGAGTATGTGCTCCTGTATATTTTTAGTGGAAGTTGTATACAGATTGCAGAACAGCCAGTGCTCCTGCAGAAGAGATGCTAGCATATCTGCTACATTTTCTCCAGATTTTTGTGTCTGCCCTGCATGTTTTGGACGAAGAAGATAAAACATCACTTTGATTATGTTATTTTTTTGTTGGAAGAGTTCCTTGGGGTTGCTCATCAACTTCAAAGGTTTTTTTTTGCTCTTGGCTCTAGTTTCAACAGATACCATGGTCAGTTATCTGCAACAATAACAAACTATACAATATAATCGGACTCACATGTGAAACATTATTCCTTCATACTTATATAATATTACGGTTGCTGATTTTCTATCAAGTCATCTTCAATTCCTTAACTATAACAATAATAATTATAGTTAACTATTGTCAAACAAGCATAGCAATTCACTGGTTTCAAATATATGTACATATTAAACAGTAATTAGAAGCATACCAAAATTTGGTAGAAACCATCAAAGTTCCTTATATTCCAATCTTCAAAGTGTATATTGTTCAGGTCAGATGGGGTTCACAAATGAAAAAAAAAAAAGATATGTCAGGTTTACCCATATTTTCACTGAAGTTAATATTAACATGTGTAATCAGATATATAAGAAAAAATGGCTAACTTACACATATCATATACTTCAAGGGGTACATCCAGGGGAGTTAGAGGGAATTATAAGTTTTGAAAAAATATTACCAAGTTTGTTTTGACACAGTGCTAGGTAGAACTTTAATATTTGGAAAAAAAGTGAAATAGCACCCACCCCTAATATAATGATTAAACAGGAAGTATGACTGAAAGATTAATCTTACTAAACCCATATCCTCACAGAAATCTTACCATAGTTGGGGTACAACTTGTTGTAAGCCCCTTTCTGGACGATCCTGGTGTCCCAATTAATCTTACTAAACCCATATCCTCACAGAAATCTTACCATAGTTGGGGTACAACTTGTTGTAAGCCCCTTTCTGGGCGATCCTGGTATCCCAAAGTTGATCAAAATTCCTTTATTTTCTGATGCCATTACGTAAAATGGATATCTCGGTCTTGGAAATTCTAAACCTCTGATCTGAACATATTTTTATGATCTAAGTGTACGAATATTTAGCGTCGGACGGTCTGTTACATATTTTTTCCAAATGCAATCAATATCTGGTGACCCCACACTACCTACACAATGCCTCTATCTAGTTCTGATACATTCTGTTCCACCGCGACTTAATTTGCATATTCAAAACCGATTTCATAAAAAAGCGACTCACCCTCCATAATTAGCACCAATTTATAGTTCTATTGTTGAAGTGATACTTTAAAAAGGTATTAAGTAACAATGCATTATTCTATTGCTGAAGTTTGATACATTTTTAAATGTACTGTTTAATAATGTTTAATCTATAGTTGAGTTTTGATCCTTTTTTAAGTGTTCATATTATGGCTATTGCATTATAGTTATCTGTCGTGATTTAGCTAAAATTAGTATATACACTTTTAACACCTGCCAGCCCAGCATCTTGATGTGGATCCAAAAAACAAAGTTATTCCTGAAATGTTTGTGTTGTTTTGATTAGATAGAAAGACTACGTTTATCCTATGTTAGAGGTCTAGGTCGCTGGACCTGACCCATTGACCACGAGTGCAAACATGAAGTTAACTTGTAAATGTAAAGTAAAACGATGTAGCAATGATGAAATGTTCTGGATGTGTATCGGTTAAACCTTGAGTCCAGGTTGGATGAGGGACGAACTTATTTGCAGATATGTCAATCCATTTGACATACCAGTTGAATCGGAGATTCGGCAATTGATTACTGCATTGACATCGAAACATGAAAACAACCAAAAACAAAAACCGGGCACAATATTATCGTTATCTTCACAAAAAGTGATTGGAATCATATATAAGAGATCACTAGTTTCAATATTTTGTGAAACTAACGGCATTGTAAAATCCAAAGATTCATTACAATATGACTTCCCTAGCGATTCTCAAATTAAGAATGCTATTTCTACAACGAAGAGTGAGTACAAGAAGAATGGTGTAATTCCCAGTATGGTACCATTATGTCATATTTTAATTAATATTTAGTTTATTTATTTTTCGTTTTAGAAGTTGTGCCGAGCTTTTTTCATCGAGATCTATCGAAATAGCCATAAATCACCGGTTTCCGGAATGGCCCACCTAGGCTCAGTACTAAAAGATCAGCTGGAATTTTTTTGCTTCATTAAATGACAAATATTTCTATTACTTTGGTCATTTGTGTCTAGAAGAAAGTCTATTTTTTAAAGAATTATATATCTGTTTGTAAATTATTATAATAATTGTTTCTTAATATGGCTTTCTCCTTTTGTTACAATATTTTTGGTTTTGGTTGATAGAAAACGCCAGTCAACTGATTTTAAATCTTTACACGTGGGAGGCTGAATGCTGTATATTTTACTAACTTTCTGACTCTCACATCTGAAACTTTCCAGCTAAAGTTATTTGGTCAAAGAAACATCCAACTGAGTGAGAACCATTGTCCTTTCTTATATATGTTAGTTATCAAATTTAAACAACTGAAACCATCACCAATTTTTTTTATAAATTTCTTTTCCTTAGTTTCAGAACATTCTCTTCACCATAAAAAGTTTGATACATAAAATAAACTCACTCTACAAACAAAGAAATTTGAATTATACGATAGCTTTTAATGTCACCAAAATTACAGAGAAAAAAACAATGCGAACAGATACTACATATCCTGATAAGTACAAGTACACAACAACAGATTACGCAAGCTTTAATGTAAGATGCTAAAAAAAGAGTTTTCATCATTTTTGACAATACTTGTCCACTAAGAAAAATCTAAATTAATACCATGTAGCAGGATACTCCACCTCTTAGGATAATGTCAAATAACTGAACACTGATTCTTATTGTGAAAATACTTATAAAATGTGAAGAGGTTCAATAACAAATCAGAATAACCCCCCAAACTCAGACCTGGAGGGGCAAAGGGGTTTGATTGGAGTTTATTCTAAACAAGAAATTACATTGTTAGTTTCTGCTCGGTCACTTTTCTGCGGTGTTATCTGTTTACTAACCAAATTAAAGGATTAACCGATACCAACATCATGTGGATATGGATAAAACTTTCGTGCATATTTCTTTGAAAATCCAACGAGGTATTATTTTTTCATTCAATGCTTTATAATAAAACTATTTATCAAATCACTGCCACCCAACTGAAATTATGGGCTAGGTCGTTATAGGCTTGGATGGGTAAAACCCTTTAACTCCTCTTTCCTGCGGAAAGTAATGGAACAAAATATTTCCCGAAATGTTTTACATCATGATATGCTTTTAACCTTTCAGTGGAGGACACGGGATAAAAAAACAACAACAACAACTTATTGCTTTCTGTAGCTGACACAAACAAACTAATTACAATGAATTCAACTGGGTTCACAAGACATTTTAAATACACTATATATGGAGTCATGTACACTTGTTTATTTTAAACAGTAAAAGTAACCCAGAACTACTGTTAATATTAATTGTATTCAGTGCTGTAAACAGGTAGAGGATGAAAAAAAGAGACTAAGAGAGAGACTTGCAAGCCACATCTATGCAGAATTTGTATGTGAAACGTTTTTACCGATTTTCATCAAATACATTATTTGTCTATTTCTCACTAGAAATTGAAAATTTGTGTTCGGTTAGAAACTGCTAATTGAAATTAATTAAATCTGTGATAAAAAAATTAACATTTCAAAATCCTATAATTTAAATAAATCTTTATCACAATCTATGAACTCTAATGGTTATATCGGGTTTGATTAAAATAATGTATCTACAAAAGTGAGAAGATCATAATGACCCGAGTTTTAACAGAATCCAAAGTTGTACTGTGTGTATGTAAATATATATTGCATGTAGTCAGTTTGTGTGTTTTACTACCTATTTGTTTCCACTGCCAAATTAAACACAAACAACCAAAAGGTTTAGACAGCAACAAATTCTATATGTACAACAAAGAATTACTATGGATACACTCAGCTAGTCTCTATAACAACTCCAAGTGGTAATATAAACAAACAAGTAAAAAGAAAACTATTCAATGTATACATCATGATGCAAACAGAAACACTATTCTCAATTACTTATTCAAGACTTTTGCACAATCACTTTTTTTTTTCTGACATTTATTTAATGAGTTAGGAAAAAACTTTCACTGGATTATTAATAATAATACATTAACCAAAAAGGAAAAAACTCTAATACTATTAAAGAAAAAAAAAAGTTTTCTTCTGACTGTACAGTACACGTTTTGTAATCCATTTCATTATCAACTTAAAACCTTCTTAAAAAAACTCATTTTATAACCTTTGACACCTACAAATTATACAAATTTTACAAGAAGTGTTGATTGTATTGAAGAAATTTTAAATATTTCTATAGCTACTCACATTATAAACTTATTATTAAACTTTTTTTTTCCCTTTGCAAAAGATAATGGAAAATGAAAAATACCAGATACTTCACAAAAAATACTAGTAACCAGTTTACCACTTTGGGAAATACACATACTCTAACAACCGGAAACACATAGTTTGAAAATATCTCATCAGAGAGTATGAACAATTACAATTCA